AACAGTAGCTGATTCAGAAGTGCCAGATTGTCATAGCAAAGTCAGAATTACCTCCTCTCCTAGGTTCACGAAACGGTCGTCTATAAAATGCATTGCTGTTCTGTTGTAAGTCATCTTAAAGATTCCTAAATGCATCTACTTTCGGAAGGCCAAATAAAGTGCTTTTGCTTTCGCCTAGAAACACACAGCGTCTCCCTGACATGCTGCTTCAACACTAACTGCGGTTACTGAAACCACGCCTTCTTTCTTTGCGTGAACATTTGGGCGGCATTATGCTAATATTTCCACATAGTGAGGTAGATATGTGGGGGCGTGTTAGAACGAGCCATTTTAGGTGGGCGTGGCAGAGTCTTAACTTTGATAAAGAATATCTCTTTGGTTTTGAGACTTTAGTCTTTGCAACTTCAGGGATCTTATCTATGCACAATCAGCTTGTAACACTCCAAAGAGAAAGGAAAACTTGAAATCGCACCATATGACCCCTTTAAATATGCTATTAAAATATACAAATACACTGCTGATATACAAATATACTTGAGATTTTTTCACCAGTACTGCTTAGTAACATTATCAGACTCTGTGAGTAATCTGATGTTTTCTTCTGATCAAACAGGAGACTCTGTTCGCTCTGGCTTCATAGTTTTTGCTGTCGTCGTGTTGGTTGTCATTGGTGTCGCTGGATATATTGTGTATCAGAAGAAGAGAGGTGAGGACGGACAACTATGACAGCTTCTTCTGCTGTCCATCTTACTTACACAACTGCACATAAAACACAGGACTTGAGGTTTCTGGGATGGGAACAGAAATGTGAATAAACAAAAACGTACGTTTTTAGATGTTAACTATTTGACAGATCATTGAATATTAAAGTTAAAAATAAATTACAATTACAAGCTTTTGTTTCTTTTTGTTCATCCAATCATGGAAATTTGTTCATTTTAAAATGTACAAAGCTGGAAATTGTATATATTAAATGTATATATTTCTCTTCAGTGACAACGAAGAAAACAAGAATGCACATGATTGATTTTTAGGATTTGTGGAAGTTTTATTTGCGTTTGATATCAGTACTGACCTTGAAACCGAAATCCTTGGAAATATGACAAGTGTATCTAGTCAGGTTGATTCAGACATATTAAATACCACTTTTAACCAGTTGGTTTAGATGTTACCTTCATTCCTATATGTTGCTTGGTTTGGCAAATGCATTTCAGTAAATCACATGATGTGTATGGTAATCTGGATGTAAATAAACATTATGTTTTGACCTTCCAAAAGCTATTATAGGTTTGCTATTGTAGATGAAAAAGAATGCATAGTAATTCATTGATCTGCATGTGTGGTTAGTGATTAGGACTTGCCACTGCCATATTCTTAGTATTTCTATTTGAAATCACTAGTTCATTACACCCCAACTTTAGATTATACTAATAGATCATTATTTGATAGATTTCTCTCTGCAATAAAAAAAATCTATATTTTGCCACTATTGAAATATCATCCTTAATGTGTTTTTTTTTGTTTTGTTTTGTTTTGCCAAAAAATGAAGTATGCATTTTCTTTGTAATCTGCACTTTCTGTTCAAGGCCTTGGACATTTCAATCCGTGTATCATTCGATCATTCGTTTTTTGATTTAATATTGAAAGTAGAAAAATTAGAAAATGTCTCCTTCGTTTTTTCCTTTTTTCCCCCCAAAAAACGAAAAATGAGAATTCAGCTTAAATTTTCGTTTTTTGTTCAGGGGTAGAAAAATGAATGAACAGCTTGAATATTTGATTTCTACACGTGGGCGGGAATTAAACACCCCTTTCTGCTGATTGGTCAGCCGAAGATCAAACCGGGCCGTCATCAGTTCTTCTGCAGTATCACGCAGCAGAATAATAGTCCTCTGCAGCTGCAGTTGTATGGATTAATTACCCATTTTATTGTAACTACATTTCATATTTTTCTCATCAAACAGACTAATGAATAGCTTGACACAACTCGTACCGGGGCAGAGGGCTTTCTTCTGTGTAGACCAGCGGTTCTTAATGTGATAGGGGTTCATTAGTCTGTTTGATGAAAAAAATATGAAATGTAGTAACAATAAAATGAGTAATTAATCCGTACAACTGCAGCAGCGGAGGACTATTATTCTGCTGCATGGTACTGCAGAAGAACTGATGACGGCACGGTTTGATCTTCGGCTGACCAATCAGCAGAAAGGGGGGGTTAA